CCTGCAAACCAGATGTTTAAGGCCCAGTTTCATCTGTAAATTGATGTAATCTGTAAACCCTGTAAGCTCAAATGAGCCTGCATCATTTCTGCAGAAGCAGAGCCAGGAACAGGAACTGTTCTAACCCTGAGAGAGGTTGGTGTTGGCAATGCAGCAAAAATAACGATGAGTTAACTTCCAACTAAAAACCTGTGGGATCAAGAAGTGGCACAAATAAACTGCTGCATGACCACAGACATGCAGAAAAACACTTATCTTGAAAGCAGGAAGTGATGCTAACTACATCACTGTGATACACGGACCTGTTAACTTGTCACTGACAGTAAGATGTCAAAGAATGGCCTGGTAAAAGTTAATTGAGTGGTTGAGTCGACAGCACACACAGACTGATTTGTTCTTAGTTTAGATAAGTTCTGGTTATTAGTTTCTTTTTTTTAAATTCCCTGATCGATTACTGATAGATGAATTGATAAAGGAATCTATGACCCTTTCTTTCTTCCACACAATGTGTTATTTACAGTCTGTGTGACCAGCTCACATTTTATGAACCAGTCATTGTGCTAAATAAAATCACTGAGCCAGTCATCCTTCTGGGAAATACTTTCCACCAATTATGACATCATTTGCAGATTTCATCTAAACTCTTTGTTATGTCCCCAAGACGGAGGCCCGAGGAGGGTGTGGGGAGCAACCAAAGTAGAGCTGGGAGAGAAAGAAACAAGCAAAATAATACAGAAACTTTTAAATTATAAACTTTATTCTTATCGACACAAAGAGACAGCAGTGCTGTTATATCAATATCAAAACAAAAAGAAAAACATGACACAATTCACCAGGAAAGAAGGACATTCTGCTATTACTAAATAAAAAAGCAAATATAATAACGTTGTGTTATCTTAAGTCAAAAGCCAAACCAAAAACATACATAAGAAATATGCACGCACAAAAAAAAGAAAGAGAAAAAACTCCCCAAAGACATATTAAGAGGACCACAACAGTAGTCCGATTGCGCGAGCTGAGTGTGAGCATCATTAGCAGTTCATTTTTCCTTTTCCAAGCTGCTCTTCATATTCTTGGCCACCAGATGCCGCCAAATAGCACCGTGTTGAAAAACTGGGTAACAAACACTTTTTCAAAACAAGCTTAATTTGCCCATCACTAGATTTCAACACTGCTCCCACAAACACAACTCCAAAATACATTACCGGGCTCTTCTTTTGCTCAACCTCGGTTTCATACACTAGAAAACAACACCTGGATTTTATAATGTCGGGGTTAATGGCCGAGTGGGTCCAGGTGCCGACTGGGGAAAAGAGCGGCATGTGGGCCCTGGAGAGAAAAGAGAGAGAGAGTGGAAGAAAGAGCAGCACCACACACCTACACCTGCCCAGCTCCACAGAATATAACACGCTTTAGTGCGAAGACCCTGGAAAGGCTCATCCTGGACCAGCTGCGACCCATAGTAAGACCACATCTGGATCCCCTTCAGTTCGCTTATCAGCCTCGTCTCGGAACAGAGGACGCCATCATCTACCTGCTCAATCGTGTCTACACCCATCTGGACCAGCCGGCGAGCACTGTGAGGGTCATGTTTTTTGACTTTTCCAGTGCTTTCAACACCATCAGGCCGACCCTCCTGGGTGATAAGTTAGCAGCGATGCAGGTGGATGCTTCTCTGGTGTCCTGGATTGTTGATTACCTGACAGGAAGACCACAATATGTACGTCTCCCACAGTGTGTGTCTGACAAGGTGATTAGCAACACAGGGGCACCACAGGGGACTGTCCTCTCCCCCTTCCTCTTCACCCTCTACACCACAGACTTCAGCCACTGCACAGAGACCTGCCATCTTCAGAAGTTTTCTGATGACTCTGCGGTGGTTGGATGCATCAGCAGGGATGATGAGACAGAGTACCGGGCTGTGGTCGACTCCTTTGTCACGTGGTGTGAGCAGAATCATCTGCAGCTCAACGTGGCAAAGACCAAGGAACTGATCGTGGACTTCAGGAAGACCAGGAAACACTTGACCCCTGTTTCAATCCAGGGGGTCAGTGTTGACATTGTGGAGGACTATAAATACCTTGGAGTACACATTGACAATAAACTGGACTGGGCTAAAAACACCACAGCACTTTACAGGAAGGGCCAGAGTCGTCTCTATTTTTTGAGGCGACTGAGGTCCTTCAACATCTGCCAGAAAATGCTGAGGATTTTCTATGAGTCTGTGGTGGCCAGTGCGATCCTCTATGCTGTTGCATGCTGGGGGAGCAGGCTGAGGGTCGCAGATGCCAACAGACTTAATAAACTGATCCGTAAGGCCAGCAATGTTGTGGGGATGGAGCTGGACTCCCTCAAGGTGGTGTCGGAGAGGCGGATGCTGTCCAAGATAAAGACAATGTTGGATAACACCTCCCACCCACTCCATGACATGTTGGTCAGTCACAGGAGCTCGTTCAGTGAGAGACTGAGATTACCGAAAAGCACCACTGAACGACACAGGAAATCATTCCTGCCTGTGGCCATCTCCCTGTACAACGCATCCACTTAACACACTGTTTGCTGCTACAGCTACACATGTTTCTTTTCCAAATATTTATTTATAAGTGACTTATGTATGTATGTATGTATATATATGTATATATTGTACTATTCTTAGTTAGCGTATTGTCTGTCTTGTCTTAATGTTGGTTTAAAATGGAGCACTGTAACAAAAAATAATTTCCCCCAGGGATCAATAAAGTATTCTGATTCTGATTCTGATTCTGATTTAAAAAGCACATTTCATTTTGGCTCAGGCTCATTGATTACTGAGCAGAGAGTCTCCTCTGCAGGTCTGGATGGTTGAGTGATTGTCGGGTTGGTTGGACATTTGCTTAATGTCAAAGTAGAATATTCACAGGCAGAGGAGCTGCGTTTCAGCGCCTCACCACCCGCTTTGTCAGAGCAGCTTTCAAAGTTGATACAATCGTAAAGTGGTGAGGCAGCTACATCTGTGGGGACGCTAGCAGTGACATAAATCGAGGTCAGTGCATTTTCTGGCTGGTCTGGTTGCTGGGGGCGCTCCTGTATCTCCTCATACGTACAGTCCTTCAACTACAAAATAAAAAAATATAGTTTAAAAACTTCATATAAAATCACATAAAACTTTTGGATGTTTATTCATCTGTATGATTTATTGCTGTCATGTTTTATCATAAATACACCCTACAATCATTTTCAAAATGATTAAAAAAACATTGCGGCAGGTTATGTTGCAATGTGCTGATTAGTTGTAATCATTAGTTGCCAGTAAAATATATTTTAAAGGAATGTATATTTTCTTTCATTATTGCCGTAATGTGAAATATATTTCATCCTTTATAACAGACGTCTGCCTGAAAAGCTTTTATGAGCCAACATCTGTGTGTCTGCAGTTCAGTCCAGGAGGTTTTAACTGGGGAGACATTTCAACTATGTTTCCTGGATTGTCACCAGTTATACATGAAAATAAATAAATAAACAAACTAAAATTCCACACTAACCTCTTTGGCATGTTGCAATGCTGCATTAGCTCCTCTGCATTTTGAAAAGGAGATTCCTGGCAGAGACGAAGCAGAAAATCAAGAAATAAGCAAAATTATCTGTTAAAGATTTACATTTTTTCTAGTTTGATTGTTTTTAAATGTCTGATATGATGAGAACTCAGCAAAGATGATATCTTTCATAACTTTAAAAAATCTACGTCAGCTAATGTCATGCATCATGTATACTGCAGATTGTTAGATATCATTTGTACAAAAGTACAGGGATGTGTTTTTTCTTTTTTTGGAGAAAAGCAGCAAACATGTTTGTGTGACTGATGATGTACAAAGGATTTAGTGAAAGTTCTTACGTCTGTAGACAAGGATGAAAACGACCAGAAACACCAACCCAGTTATTATGATTACAACAATTCCAACGTCAGAAATGCCTGCAGCGTAAACCAAACAACAATTTTCCAGCATTATTCATCATCCCAGCATTGACATCCCGAACTGTCTTTGTTGGAAAATGTGAAAGGAGCAGTTTTTAAGAAATTTAAAAAATAAAAATTGTTATGTGAACAGCCACAAACTTTCCCAGTTCTCATAAGCTGCAGAAGTTTTAGGATACCACATGTACTCTCTCACCATGACTCTCAGCAGATGCAGTGGGTCCTGTAGTTGAAAAAACAGCAGACGTAAATGATTGGTGGAAACCGAAGGAAACAAATGTGCATTCAGACTCTACTTTGAGGCATTAGATTAACAGAGTTTAATTAAAGGATAAAATAATATCATCAATTTGGAAAAAAAGAATATTTATAATTTTTAGACACCAGCTTAGAGGTTACCATCTCGTTTTCCTCTCCACTTTTTAAAGTGGCATTACAAAATGTAATGTTAGCAAAGTGAAGTGACGTTAGCCAGTAAAAGTCTTGTGTTCGATGGGGTTCGATCCCAGTCTGCTCCAGTCTGCATGCCAAATATCCTTGTGCAAGATACTAACCGCTGGTTGCTCTCCGATGCATCCATCAGAGTGTGAATGTGTAATAGAATGTAAGTTAGGTTGCACTGAAAACCTAGAAAAGTGCTTGTGTGAATGGATTTGATTTGTTGAATGAACAAGTTGTATAAAGCGCTTTGAGTGCTCAGAGTAGAAAAGTGCAATACAAGAACCCGTCCATTTACCATTTATTAACCTAATGTAGTAATACCTCATAATCAGAAAACACACATTTTTAGTGCCGAGTATAAGCACATCCTCTTTTCTTAAAGCTCATTCTGTGTCAAACCTTTTTGGCATGTTCGTTTCTTTTAAATTCTTTTAAAGTCATTTTCTTGCTAACAGTTACGATTAAAAGTCTTTATTTTTTAATATTTTTATTTTTAAAATGATTTTATTAAAACTGCAAAAAATAAAACATTATAAATAATGAATTAAAAGTATAATATATGTGTAAAATGAGCCTGCTTTAATATGCTGTGCATTATGACCCAGGGTCAGATAATAAAATAGCACGGCTCACCTACAGTCAGGGACAATCTGTTGAAGAACCTGTTACTTTGGTGTTCATTGGTGCTTTCTGCTCCACACCAGTATGTCCCACTGTCGTCCACTGTCACTTCTCTCACTGTCATGGTGATATTTTTCTTCTCTTTATTGTCATTCATCCAAAACCTCTTGTTCCTATTGGGATCTCTGGTGCTTACTAAAGGTTTACATATAGATGGATCTTCTCCCTTACAGATAAATTTTGTACAATTTGAGAGAGTCTGGTTATATTTACACCAGTACGTGAAGTTCTCTCCAACAGCTGGTGATCTTGTGAAGCTCTTAATATCTGTGGAAAACAGAGGCAAACATACTTTAGTAGTTCCTAAATATAAAATGTAAACCTTTAAAGTGGAAAACATAAGCTATTTACTTTTAATACTTAGTTTTATTTTTGTGAGTGCAGCATGATGAATCCCCTCAGGTGATCTTACGCCGCACCAGTAAATACCATCATCCTGAGAGGACACATTACTGATGGACATATTGAAGCTATGGCTGATGTTTGAGGGAGTGAATGTCCTGTTTGACTTTGGATAAGATTTTGTTGATAAATTGTCCTCGCAGGTGAAACCTTCCCCTTTGCAGAAAAACTTGATCCACGACTTGTATTTGTCTTCTGGATAATCACATCTGATGGTGGTTTTAGCTGTTCTGTATGCAATTTGATGAAATGCTTTTGGGCATTGTTTTGCTGGGAAAAAAAAAAGTATTACTCACAAATGTCTTTTTCACTGGAAAGGAAAGGCTCACATGATCCATTTATTTAGATACAGTAATCCAAACTATGAATGTGTTGACCAATGTGAATTAAAATCAGCCACAGCATATATGAATGTGAATAAGAAATTATTCCTTCTTACCAATTTTAAATTCTAATTCCTCTCTGTCAGCTGATGAATTCTTCGTCTGATGTTGCTTAATGATCACTCTGAGAGTGTTTTGCTCAGTTGTTGAAGCCTTAGTCATTTGACATTTTCTAGTTGTGTTTTGGTTGCAGGTGAATTCAACCCATCCTTTTGTGCAAATCTTCTCTTCTGACAGCAGCTCACAACCTAAAGCAAACATTCACATGATAAAGGTCACTGAAATAAAATCCCAGAGGGGGGTCCGAAGATGGTATTTAGGGAAGGTTACTTTTAAAATGTATTCCACTACAGATTAAAGAATACATGCCTCAAAATGTATTTTGCAACGTATTCTGTTACTCAATGAGAGTAACGTATTCTGAATACTTTGGATTACTAATATATGATCATGCTTTTTACAACTACATGAATGTACTATTGCTGTGTGATTTATTACTATTACTGAAGATTATTCGCCATACCAACACCAACTAGATTTTTAAATCTTTATTTAAAATGAGTAACAGTAGGTGGACATTAGGTAAGGCTGCACTTTTGCAGCGATCTCGTAGAAAACTATTCCTGTATCAGTGATGTTTTCTTTTTGTCTGCTTTCATAACTGCACATGATTATTTGCAGCTAGCAGGTTGTTAATGCAACATTCATTAATAGTAATAAATCAGACAGCAATAGTACATCAAAGATACTTTAGTGGCACATAACCCAGGTAACTACCACAACTAAAACAAGTTAGTTGCATTAGGCTAACGCTAGTTTTTTAAAAAGAACTTACTTCCAGCTGAGAGCAGCTTGTTTGCTGGATTCACTTTAAATGTGAAGTGGTGTCGGAATTTACAGCTCCGAACCGTAGTAAAGAGACCTCTGTCTAATAAGTCGGGCTCCATGTGTACACAAGGGTGACAGTGTGACACAAGTAAGTGAGTGTTGGGCCGGAACGTTAGGCTGTATGTTGTTGTTGTTGTTGTTGTTGTTGTACATGACAGAGAGTCAATCTGAGTCACATGACTTGTTAATAAACCTAACTGCCCCGTTGGGGTATTCTGTAGTCTGTCGTGCATGAGACCAGAATACAACACCGTGTTCCCAAACCACAACCACAAACACAGTGTACTTCTAAGTCTTAACAGCTTACTTACAACTGGGCTCGTACGTGTATTCTGTTACTCCCCAACACTGCTCTCACAGCACTCTTTTCTGCACAATGGAAGCTGCAGTACAGCGGCCTCATCTCTGCAGCCACAGTACCAATCCATCTATCGACCTCCCGCTTCCCTCTGAACAAGACCCTGTGACTGCACAAGTCACTGAACAACCTTCCACCATCTGGCTATGCCTAGAAATTCTGTCTACAAGAATTAAGAATACAATCAATGACAAAGAGCAGCGTTCAAAACCCACCAGGAAATAGTCCAAATTATTGCTGGCAATGCAAACCAGGCTCTTGCAGCAGTTGTATAAGAACCAAATAGCTTGCAACAACCGACCAGATACCCCATAATAGTGGACCATGTCCCACAGAATACTTTGAGCGACAAAATCGAATGCATTGTCTCTGATCTATTGTTCTGCACAGATGACAGGCTGGACCTGCTCCCTGACCTGGACGCACAGAGAACAAACCCTCTCATTCAAATAGCCCCGACATACAGGCAAGGAAGCCGAGGGGACACCAGGCTATGCACCCCAGCCTGCCGCCTCTCAACAAGGACACTGGTTCCAGAGCTCAAACCGTGTGTAGAGGTGAGCCTGATTATATCTGGCTGGTACCTCTCAACCTCACATACTGACCCAGGATCCTACCCCACCAGAGAGCTGATGTTTCATATCCACACCGCCAGCCTCGGTTGCCAGGGATCGGTCCGTCAGGGCCTCTGCCCTCGGCTGCCACAACACACAACCCACCCTACGCCCACAGTGCTTCCTGTGGGTGGGGGGCCTACAGGAGGGCATAGAGACCTTTTTTTTTTCTTTCTTTTTTAAAATTGTAATCTGTCACAATTGGCTTGTTACATCATGAGCTCATTATAGTTTTCCTTTTTCTTGTCACTTCCCGTTTTACTTTGCCTTTTGCTTTTGTGTGTCATTTTGCCTTTACTGGTTGTGTTCTTCTGTTCCTGTTTGATGCCACTGAGCTCATGTTCCTGTTCTATTGTCTTGGAGTTCTGTTGTTGTTAAAGCACATTGTTCATTAAAATTGTTTTTATTCACTCTCTGCCTTTCCAAATCTGTGGTTTCCTCTTACATCTGCTCAGGGGCGTTTCCTAAACCTGGACACAAAACCTCTGACGTAAACACACACACACAAAAAACTTTACACTTTAAATAAAATAGAAACTTAAACGCTTCTAGTTTGAAGACACTGTGTTTTAGTGTATATAATGAGTGCCCATTTCATAGGACATTACACACTACAATTAAAATCTTGGCAAAGAGAAATTTCACAAAAATAACAAAGATGTGAAATGAAGTGTTAGAGTCGTCTAATTCTTCTAAATGAGGTTAAAAAAAGCTGTAAAACAGCTAAAAATGAACTCAGACTATTTGCTTCTGTAATCCTCTGTCTCCCACATTGTCATGTGTGTCATCATCAGAAGTAAATGTCAACATTTTTATTACAAGTATTTTACTGAGTGATAATGTCATTAGTTTTACTAGAGGATTAAATGAGGTCTGCAAATCATATTTAACTCTATTTTTGCCAAAAGATGGCCTGTTTCAAAGTAAATTATTATAAGTTATGAAGACAGTACATAAGCAGAAAATAAAAAGCTCAAACTCAAACGTCCTACTGTGTATGATTTAACACCACAATGAGAACATATAATGTAATATACAGTACAGCACTCATTATTATATAATATCAGGGTTAGTAATCTCTTTACCTGTCATTAGTGAGAGGATGAGCAGTAGAAGTAACTTCATTATGTTTGTTTTGTTCTTTAAAATCTTTATGACTTAAGTATTCAAATGCAGTTAGTTCCCATTCGCTTGTTGGCTGCTGAGTTGCTCTCCAGTGTCTATTCTTAACTTCATGGTTTATGGAGCCTACATTTTCTTGCTGCTCCTTCCTGTTTGTACTTCCCATTTTTAAATTGTTTTTAATGCCCCCTTTCAACATCACACACTGCCATCTTCTCATTTTTAGTAAAGAGGAAGTTATTGGTATGTGTAAGTTTGAGAAAGATGGACAGCTTGTTAGGGTGCCTGGGTCGTCCACCCAGTGTTTTGTGTTTTTGGTTCTTTGATTTGGTTATTTCATTATATTCTAGCTTTGTCTTATGGGTCATAGGATTATTCTTAGTTTAGGTTCTCTATGTGGGTTTTGTTAGAGTTTTAGTGTTCTGCTTTTCTGTCTGTGATAGTTGCTGTATCCCCGAGTCAAGTCCGCATCTCTGTGTTATGTTTCCTGTTTTACTTTGAAGTGATGTCTGATGTTAATGTGTCTGGTTTTTGCTTCCCCTGTCTCGTTAGGCCTGATTTAATACAGTTTGTGTATCTCTTGCAATCTTGTTTGCAAAACAGATGATCATTTAATGGCACACCTTTTTGCACAGTTACACACTTTTTGTACCTCTCGCCCTATGACAGCTGGGATAGCGGAAGCGAATGGATGGATAAACAGTAAATCATGTTTTTACACATGACACGAGACCCCAATGAAAAGAAATAGAAGACATACAATATAATTTTAATAGATATAATTATATTAGATATGTTTATAATGTATACACATAAACCATGTATGTACACAGTTCTGAAAACACGAAACTCAAAATATTTTGGGCACTTTCTAGGGTGTGTAATTTTTCACAGTTACTTGAATAAAGAAGCTGGTTCAGGACTTCAGTTTTTACCAGAGTATTTTTAAGATAAGTGTTTGTACTTCTACTTTAGTGAAGAGTGTCTATTTTGTCACCTCTGTTAAACACCACGATTAAAAGACTGAAGAAGTTCAACTTGTGAAGAGAAAAAAGCCTTACAGACATTTTTATTTCTGCTGTCCCGTGGTTTGTGTTGAACATTTGAACACACTGACTGAAAGCCCAAAATAAATACTGTCCACGGGTCACTGCAAGACCAGCAGATAGACATGTGACAACTATGTATGTATGTATTTCAAAATGCTAAAAATTCCTTCTGATATATTATAATGCATGTTTTATTAAAGAATGTATCTTTAAGATCATAACAATCTAATTTTGGTTCATAATCTCATCAAGTAACAGGAAGTTAACTTGAAATTCTGGTTCTTTAACTCTTTAATAAAACCTGTCATAATTAATTTTGTAGTTTTGCGTAAAAAAGGTTTTTGTTAGGTTGAAATTGTTAAATGTTGTCATTGTGTTACTTTAATTGTGTGATCAAAGACATTCTGTTTCTGTTCCCCTCCCCGCCTGCTGAATGGTGGGGGAGACAGTTAGCTATAGTTTTTACCTGCAGACATTTCACGTAAGGTTCTCGTGTCCTTATTTAGTGAGGATGTTTTACTTCCTGCTCTTTATCTCCTCACCTGTGTTTGTATAGGGTAAACCTTTGGAGGAAGCTAAGCCACATACAGGGGTGAGGGGAGATGATCACCAGGGAGTCACGCACACACACACACACACACACACACACACACACACACACACACACACACACACACACACAATCATCAGCTTCCAGTCAGCATGCATGCACACACACACACGCGCGCACGCACGCACACACACACACACACACACACACACACACACACACACACACACAATCATCAGCTTCCAGTCAGCATGCATGCACACACACACACGCGCGCACGCACGCACACACACACACACACACACACACACACACACAATCATCAGCTTCCAGTCAGCATGCATGCACACACACACACACGCGCGCACGCACGCACACACACACACACACACACACAATCATCAGCTTCCAGTCAGCATGCATGCATGCACACACACACACACACAGTGCCTTAGTTTTATGATGCACCATAGGGGTTTTTTTACAGTAGCTGTTTGTGTAAACTGTGTCACAGAATAAAAGGCTGCAGGGGGGTCGCAAGTTTCTTAACTTGCTAGCAAGTTAAGAAACGGTTAAAGTGTTCTGTCCTGCTTTGTTCACAGGAATAAGTCTGAACTAGCAGGCCTGCTGAAGCGCAGACCCAACAGTTTTGCTGACTGGAAGCTGATGATTGTCTTCAGCAGCTGGACCTGGCTGTGATCGCAGAGCTAACTGTAGCAGGGTTGTAGCACTGTATTACAACCCAGATTTCGCACTGGGTCTAGGCTGACTACTTTCTAAGCACCAACGAATAGTTTTATAAAACATTTACAAGAAATTGCTAAAGTTGAGATTTAGTAGAACAATAAAGACGTTAGAGAAAGAACCAGGGGAATGGTATGTGTCATGGTCCCTGTGCCTGCCCAGCCGGCCTCACAAGGCTACACTTGTGTTTTTGCTTTTTCTCTCTCTCCCCTACCTCTCTGCCTGGGCGGAGCTCACAGCTGGCTCCCACCCTTGGCTCACACAGCTGTTGGCGATCAGCTGATGGCGATCAGCTGATTACCGATCTACTATTTGAGGCTGGGTCACAGATCCTCTCATCGCTGGATGATTGAGCTACTGACGTTAGTCTTTCTTTTGGTCTTATACCTTTACGCCCTACCTTCGTGATTTGTGAGTGATTTCTCCCTTCCCTATTCCAGTTTATCTTCCCGGACCTGTGACCTCCCCGCGGTACGGACGTGTGTGAGTCGGATGTAAGGACGTGAGCGAGCGTGAGAGAGAGAGAGAGAGAGCCTTCCCCTAATCCCCTGGAATCCTGGACTTTCCCCCGTCACTGTATATAGTATTGCACTGGTGTGTAAATAAATCGTGTTCTGATACGTCAACCTGCTCTGCGCTTGAGTCCCTGCTTTCAGTTTGTGACAGTATGACTTTTTATTGTTTATTGTGAATATCGCTTTAGCTGAAAATCCTATTATTCCTAATAATTACAGTCAGAAAAATTCAATTCAATTTATTTATATAGCACTCTGTACAGGATAAAAACCACAAAGTGCTTCGCAGTAATATAAAAACAGATATACATAAAAACAGCACAGTCAAACGTTCAGCACAAATGAGTCTTAAGCTGCTTTTTAAAAGAATAAATACAATCAAGGCAACGTAATGATGGAGGGAGCGCATTCCACAACCTGGGGGCCACCGCTCTAAAACGTCTCCTCTGGTCTTAAAACGTGTTCGAGGAATTTCTATGGAATTTCTTTTGCTTATCAAGCCAGAAGCAGGGTGTTAAATTCTTTGTGTTTTTTATTTCTCCTTATTTAGTAACATTTTATGTGCCCAAGAGAGGAGGAGAAATTGTAACAATTACAAAAATCAGCTGTCACACAAATACAGCTGCTAAACAGTACATGTGTGAGTGAATACAACCAGCCCGTACCCAACCACAAAACAATGAATTTCAAATCAATTTTAAGAGTAATCTCGTTGTCTCATATCTATTTTGTTGATCCTTTAAATTGACTTAAACTATTAAGTATATTAAGTCACAGTAACAAGTTCTGACAGTTTTATTTTGTTCTACAGACTATTCTAGGAACAAAGGGCAGTATTTTTAAAAATGATATTTATTTTTGCCCAACTCTGTTATGAACTCTGAGAATAAAAAGTATTTCTTGTTTGGCTGTGTTAACTTTAAACCTCATTTTTTGGCAATGCGCAGTAATCAGAAAAACATTCCTCTTTGTTGTTTTAGCTGATAGAAAGGTAGTCGGGCTGGTTGAACATTTGCTGAACTCCACAGTAGAACATTCACAGGCTGAGGAGCTGGGTTTGAGTACCTCACCACCAGCTTTGACAGAACAGCTTTGAAAGTTGATGTTTGCGTAATGTGGCGAGAAAGCACAGAGTGAAGGTTGGCTCTAACTTAAATTGAGTTCGCTGCATGTTCTGAGTCTGACACCTGGAGGTGCTCCTGTGTATCCTCACAGGCACAGACCTTCAGTAAGAGAACGACAAACATTGTTTAGACACAGTCACAACACTTGTGATAAAAACTGCACTACAAATTACAACTAAAATAATAATTATACCAAATTGTTACTACTGGGTACCTGTGTTTGAGACAATAGAGAATACATACAATAAGGTATACACACAGGCAGCCACACAGCATTCTGAAGTAATGTTTTGCTCTTCACTCAGTGATTCCTTTCATTTTTTTTCCTTTATACTTCGACTATAACATACTGTTAGCTGTTGGCACTAAAACTACATCGTTAAGTTTATAAAAAAGAAAGGAAATTTGAATTTAACTTAACATATTCCTCTTTTAGCATGGCTAAAGGTTCATGACATTCAATCTTCTATGATGAAACAGTACCTAAATTTTGTCATCTGTAGTAGAATAGCATCTATCTATCTGTCTGTCTGTCTGTGTGTGTGTGTGTGTGTGTGTGTGTGTGTGTGTGTAAAAACAGCTACCTCAAGGTATTTGTTGTTGCCATTATCCTACAATAAAAAGCAGAATAAAAAGCATATTGTAATACAAGAAAAGAGAGAAAAAATTAAACAATCACATGAGCAAATGCTTTTGAAACAGTGAGAAGGAAAAACTCCCTTTTAACAGGCTCAGGGAGGGGCGGGGCCATCTGCTGCAACATGCTGGGGGTGAATCCTACCTCAGCATGACTTAAGGAGGATTCAGGATCGCCTGATCCAGCCCTAACTATATGCTTTAGCACAAAGGAAAGTTTTAAGCCTACACAGAGCGGGTGTCTGTCTCCCAAATCCAAAGCTGGTTCCACAGAACAGGGGCCTGAAAACTGAAGGATTGGGAACAACAAGCAAGCCCGCAGTCAGAGAGCTAAGTGCTCTAATGGGGTGATATGGTACTATAACTTCGTTAAGATAAGATGGGGCCTGATTATTCTAGACTTGTATGTGAGGAGCAGGATTTTGAATTTGACTATGGATTTAACAGGAAGCCAATGAAGAGGAAATCTGCTCTGTCTTTCTAGTCCCTGTCAGGACTCTTGCTGCAGCGTTTTGGATTAGCTGAAGGCTTTTCAGGGTTTTTTTTGGGACATCCTGGTAATAATGAATTACAGTAGTCCAGCCTGGAAATAATAAATGCATGAACTAGTTCTTCAGCGTCACTCTGAGACAGGATATTTCTAATTTTAGAGATGCTGCACAAATGGAAGAAAGCAGTCTTACATATTTGTTTAATATGTGCGTTGAAGGACATTTATTGGTCAAGACCAACTGCGTTACTGGAGGCCAAGCTAACGCCATCCAGAGTAAGAATCTGGTTAGATACCATATTTCTAAGATTTTCAGGGCCGAGTAAAATAACGTCAGTTTTATCTGAATTTAGAAGCAGAAAATTAGAGGCCATTCCGGACTTTAAGACATGCCTGCAGTTACTAATTGGTGTGTATACAGTGAAAATGTATACTATGCCCTCTAATGATACAATGTAGCAGAAATGGTACCAGAACAAAACCCTGCGGAACTTCATAATTAACCTTAGTGTGTGAAGAGGACTCTCCATTTACATGCACATATTGGAGTCTTTGAGATAGATGTGATTCAAAACACTGCAGCGTGATACCTTTAACACCTACTACATGCACTAATTGCTGTGTTTTTTCAAGCTGATAGTAGAAAAAACCAGCAACTGGTTATCCAGTAAGGGTCTCCTGGCTAGACCCCCCCATGCTAAAACCAAGCCCTGGAATGGCGTGGCTACGTCTGCTGCCTGTCCACAGCTCATACACAAGCATTTCACTACATGTTGTACTGTGTATGTGACAAATAAAATTAGAATTTGGTCTGTGCTTGTTGTTGGTGTCGGATTTAAAACATAATGGTGACAAACACTGGATCGAGGTGCCCCCTGTTAATATTTGCTTGAGCTACAACAGACTCTAGAATCTCCACTGGTGAGACAACAGTACTAACCAAGTACCTTGAATCTAGTTCAGACAAGCAAAATGAAAGCAAGACTTAGAACATCTTGATGTAAAATGTCGCTGGAGTTTTATCTGATGGATTACAAAGCCACAAACCTCTCAGCAGAGGAAACATAGGCAGTGGTTTTCTACAGAACGCTACAAATTTAATCTCTTCAGACAGGCTGCAAGACATGTTGAGCAATATGTCAACATTATTTCTGTTTTTTGGATACGAGCTTAAATAATGTCCATGCAGTTAAAGATTAATAGCTGGCCTGATGAGGAGAGTCAATAATAAAATTATGTCCCTAAAATTTAATCAACGTTACTTCCTCATTGTGTGGAAACTACTTTTGTTTTAACTAATTGGTTGTTTATAAATTGCTGCATTTATGAGTGCAATCTTTTATGTGAAATAGCACTACATAGTTATTTTAGATCACTTGGTACAACATTGCTGCCTCTACTCTCAACAATACTCATTAAACAGTGAGGCTTAGCAACATCACCATAATAAACCCTCATTGAGTGGTTTCTCTCAGGATGACAAATCCACAGAGGTGATGGATGAATACTCATACCTAAGGTTTAGTTTGGAATATTCTCTACTAGTTAAGAGGTAATGAACTGGATTTCTTGATTTTTTTTTGTGCTTTTGGAGAGCTTTTTGTTGATTGTCTGAAAAATTATATGGTTTTACTAAAAGACTAGAAAGTTTGTGGTTTCATTTGGGTGACTGAAATCCATATAGTGCATCCTTTCATGGATTCAGCTTACTCACTATGATAACTCTCCCCTCTCATCCAAATCCACCACATCATTGTTTTTTGTACCTATGTTGCTGCTCTCTCCTCAGTATAAAAAATGACTAATACATGAAAAAGTTAACTAATGGTTGTATCAAAACATTGCTGCATTAACTATACTTCATATCAGACACACGCACCCACCTGTTTGACATACGATGCTCCAGCTCCATTTTCAGCATTTTTTAAATGTGAGACTCCTGCAAAGGGAAAAGAGAAAATAAACACATTTCACTAAACTGATATGCAGCAGCCTCCACTGGCTGCTTCTGAAAAAGAACTGCCAGAGTTGCACTGATCATTATCACTGAACCATTTTCTATTTTGATTTAATCTGATTTAACAAGAAATTTGAAAAGATAATCATAACTTGTATTCAGAAGTATTCATATGTCATGGGATGGAGAATTTGGGGACTCTGCTAATGTCACTCTGTCTGCTGTGGATTTTTAGATGTTATCTTTGCAAAATATGGAAGAATCTCAATATTGTCTTATTTTTGAGAAATGAAAATGAATGTACTCACGTTTATAGATAAGGAATAAAATGATTGCAAACATCAGCTGCAACACAGCCACACATAGGATCAAGGTCATCACTACATCACAGAAATTTAGACCAGAAAATTATTCAGCATGACATTATTGTTCAACTGCCGGTGCTGAAGAACATAGGAAAGATAAACCTTTTGAAAGTTTTGAGACTTTCACATCATCAGTTTATTTCTATGTTTTCATAAACAGCGTGAACGTCTTAATCCAGCTTCAGCACTTGCCTTCATAGCAGATTTAAGATATTAAATAAATTAAATAAAGTCTCTCACCAGAACTCTGAGGAGCTGCGGTGGTTGCTGTGGTTAGAAGACCTGTTTCAGAGAAAAACCACAGTCCTCACCGTTAAAGCTTTTTCTTTCTGTTTTTATAAACTGTGTGAACATCTTAATCCAGCTTTGTCACTTCTTACTTGAATATTGTATATTGTATATTGCATAGCTTTTTTTTGTTATACGTAAAATTGTATTGTATTTATTTAAATTTTTACTTTTTAATTATTTATTTGCATTTTTCTAATCACTAGGGTTTGAGAGTAACGCAATTTCTATTCTGTGTATGTCCTGTACATGTGGCAGAATTGACAAATAAAGTTGACTTGACTTGACTTGACTTCTTTTCTGTATTTTTAAGATACTAATTAAAACCATCTCTTGCACAAGTGAGACATAAAAGATGTTTACCTAATGCAAGAGATAAATTAAATATTATTGCTAACATTGTTTTGTAAGACTTCTATGAAACTCAATAGAACAGAAACATGTTAAGAATTAGTGATAAATTGTACAAGCAACTTACCTAGAATCAAATGAAATCCATCAAAGAAGTCGTCATGTGTTTGATTGTGTTTGTGAGGGTCTCTTGCTCCACACCAGTATATCCCACCATCGTTTGCTGTTACTTCTCTCACTGTAATGGTGATACTCCCGTTGTTCTCTTTCATTATAAACCTCTGGTTCACGTCAGGCTCTGTGCTGGTTACTAGCTGTTTGCATACAGTTGAATCTTCTCCTTTGCAGATGGATTTTATACATGAGGAGGCATCCTGGTTGTACTTACACTGGTATGTGAAGTTCTGTCCAATAGTTGATGTCAAAGGTTGAATATCTGAAGACAAAAAGACAAATATTTGCCTTCAGCTTATCAGCCAGCTTTTATCATTTAAACCTGTGATACTGAACATGTGGAATACTCACCTATAACTTTCAGGTGTATTTGTGTGTGTGATAATCTGTAACTTCCATCATTTGATTCCACTCCACACCAGTAATCACCAGCATCCTGTGAGGTCACATGACTGATGGAAATGTTAAAGGCACGGCTGCTGCCTGTGAGAGTAAACTTCCCTTTTGGCGTTGAAGAAGATTTTGTTGATAAAATGTCCTCACAGGCAAAATGTTTCTTTTTACAGAAGAACTTTATGTGGGACTCGTAAACATCTGGATAACCACATGTGATGGTGCTGTTAGCTGTTCTGTACACGCTGAGAAATGTTCGCGGGCAGTTTGCATGCTCTGTAAACAAATCAGAGAAATAAAGTATTTAAAATTTAGCTCCATAGGCAGCTAGACTTTAAATTGATGAGGACTTGCAGACTATGGAAATTGATTAATATATAATTATTATTATTATTATTATTATTATTATTTGAACAGATGTCACATTTCTTACTAGTCTCCAGTTTTCCTTCCTGTATGTCAGATGAGTTCGATCTTTGGAAAAACCTGCACCTGTACTCCCCAAACTCTCGCTCTTCAACATGTTTTATTGCAACCTTGAGATTTTTATTTTTTGTATCATGGTAGAGGACAAATCTACCATTTTCTTCCCACACGTCCTTCTTAAGAGAGGATGAGTAGGAGCAGTAACTTCATTATACTGGTTTTGAAGCTTTATGTCTTCGTTGTTTGTCTTCAGTTTGTGTCTCCAGTCTGTTGCTCGGCAGTTTTGTTTGCTGATTTTCAGTTTTTGTGGCCAAAATTTTTCACGCCTACCGTTCTAACCACCCCTCCCTCTTCCTCTCATGGCCCATTCACCACCGCCCCTCTGACAAACACAAACACAACTTTTTGCATTAAACAGGAAATAAGTGGCTCGTTTGGGTGTGAAAAGGGAAGTTTGGTAGAAGCATGTGACTGAACATCAGAAATAACTTAATAGTTCTATAATAAAAACTAGGAATGGAATCAGTTATAAGTAAATGAATCTCTTTACACTGCAGACTGAAACGTTTTAGGTTTTAAGGGCAGGAGACTCGGTTCATTTTTAACCACACTCTGTGCTTAATGTGTCATTAAATACATAATGAAGTATCCAGATCTTTTTCATGTTTTTGTGAGGATAATAGTACGTTTAATGTACCATTATCCTCACACACACACAGACCAGGGGATTGCGACTCGGAAGTGTTCCTGTTCCTGTGGTGTTCCAGCCACACCTGCTGCTCATCACCTGCAGCCAGCTGTAGCAGATTACTCTCATCAGGAGCAACCTAACCCATATGGAAAAGAAATAGAAAAACCTTATAAAAGACTTGCATAAGATGTGGCCTACTTCATATAGTAAATCGCATAAGGCTCATATGATTTACTCATGAAAGTGGCCACTTTCTCATTACTTTCATATATTGTTTTAGTAAGTATCCAAAACATAAAAGTTTCATTTATATAATTTTTCAAGGGATCTTTTATCTGTTTTCACTCTTATATGCTTTTCATACAAGTTTCACACAAGACAGATACAAACTTTATATATATATATACCTTTTCCATATGGGAAACCCGTTAAGTACAGCCGTCGACTTATATGTTTCAATGAGTAAAGACCTCGCTATCAATTGTAGATCACCTGCTGAACTGTGTGTGTGTTTGTGTCACCAGGACTCAGAGCGGAGTGTCTTGCCACAGAGAGAAGTCACGGGTTGGATTTGGGAGTGGCCATCTTTTCATCTTTAGGAATATTTGCAGTGTTAGAGTGAATTGTTAAATGTTGCCATTATTGTACTTAAATTTGTTTGCCTTGGTTCAAACTGTATGATCAAAGTTATTCTTCTGTTTCTATTCTTATCCCCCACCTACATCTGCGTGGGGGAGGCTATTGGTAAGTGTTTATGGTGAATCATTAAAGTTAAGCCGTATACAGGTGTGGGGAGGTGACCTTTGGATAACTAGGAAATATGGTTAAACAGTTGTAAGCATATATTGTGTGGCAGGAAGTCACTAATACAGAGACACATTCATTCACATGTTCGCACATGCATACAAACACATACTTAGCTTTTATGGCACACTATATGGGTTTTACATTGTGTAACCAATTTAAACCAGTTTCACTGTGTTTGAATAACCCACGGTGGTCAATAACAGAGCCTGCAAGGGGAATCAGTTTGAAGTCAGCTCAACATCTTGCCGGACTTCCCTCGCTAGCAAGTGACAACCATACGGAGTGTCTTGCTTTTGTCCACAGTGACAAACCTCTGCGCCAGCGAGGTCTGACATTAGACCTAACATGCACTGTGTGAGATTCATGGAGGAATCGCCACGGGAGCCACAGTGCTGAATGCTGGACATTGTGTTTTTCTGTAAATAAAGCCTCACTGCTCTTCATTAACGCCCTGCTTTTGGGCCCAATTTCCTACCTTCATGTGCTTCTCTCTGCTGAGCCTCTTAACAGCTGTGACTGTCTGAAGAGAAGTGTTGAAACGATCAATGTGCAAGTGAGCAAGCTTTTACTGGGAAAACATTTCTTTATCTAATCAACTTTATTTAACTCAAACTAGAACCAATACTTACTCAGTGGCTCTCCAATGTGTAGCTTCAAGTTTAAGAGAACAAAATTCTGGTCACCTTTCTTTGGACCTCCAACTTTGCCTTGGTGCCTTGATCAACTCCAACTCAGATAATCCAACTGGTAACAGCAGTGGTGATGACAATAAAAAGGATTATCAAAAAGAAAGGGAAACGTCTCTCACAGCATGTGTTCTTTTACAGAAATGCATGTTTAACAAGTAAACAAATATTATCTATTATCTATTTTAGATTTTTTAGATTATATGTTATCCGTTTCCACAAACACAATATCTAAAATCTGATTTTATTTTTAAAATATAAATTAAGGATGAATTTGATATCAGGAATATGTTTTAAAAAGTTGGTGCATGGGTCTCCCATCACCTCTTCTTTCATCAGAAGACTTTGGAACAGAATTCCACTATTTGGTTCCCTCAGTCATGGCCCCTTCATGCTTATTGGGGTTAACAGCATCAGATTGCTTAAATTGCTGCTTTGATGCTTCAAAAACATTCCATGAAAATTAGTTATTCAATTATTCATGGTATGAGCTAGAGGTAAAAATCCATGGCTTCCTTAATTAAATACATTTTAATGTACAAAAAACCATAAAAAACCCCACAAAGATCACACGGCAGTTCCTGCCTGGGTTCGAACCAGGACTCTCATCAAATAGCTTGAGTCTAGCTAAGACAAGCAAAGTGAAAGCAACACTCAGAACATTGTTTTTTAGATTATCTAGCCACCAACATCTCAGTGGAGGAAATGTAGACAGCATTTAATTGGGCTATAAAGAGAAATGAATTCCACATAATTTCGGAATCATGTTGAGTTTATTGAAGTTTTAGAGATACTGCGAGTTTATTGAAAGAGAGTCTTTGTCTTTCACAGAGAAAACTAGCATTAAAAGAAAAAAGGGGGGGGGGGTTAAAACAACTACATCTTTTAAAAAGGCTCGAGGCCGACATGACATGAATCTAAAATAAGACATCTAAGCCTTGTATTTACTAATCTTATGTAAAAAGTGTGGTAGTGAATAATACCCACGTACTTTACTTCTGTTTTTGTATTTGCTGTTTATTTGCTCTCAGACTGTTTAGGTTGCAGCTGAAAGAATAAGGCTACAATTTTTGTATATTGATTTTCTAATCTCACTACAGACCCTAACACTATGTTCAAAGAGCTATTATAAATGCTATATAACTGCACAGCACTACTCTAACATACTGCTGCTTTGGTTGTGAAGTCTGCATTTATGTGTCTAACCTCTTGGTATATATAGATTTTTATTTTCTAAAATATATCACTCTGTTCACAGCTCACCTGTCCAAGTTTTATAATTGTTTGTCATGTACTGCCAACGACACTCTTTCATGCTCAGAGTTGACTCCTGGACTTCATTTGATTGCTTGAACTGATGATTGATGTTAAATGAAACTGAACGATGGACAGATATCACGGCTACGTGAAACTTGCTTTATTATACAGTCAACAAAACGACATATAATTACAGGTTAATTCTTTAAGG